CCCCCCCCCCCCCCCCCCCCCCGCGTGCCCCTGCCGCAGCCGGTGACCAACCTGAGTGAACCATGTCGGAGCTGCAGCCACGCGCTGGGTAACAACCCCCCCGGGGTGCCCGGGCCCTCCCTGGGCAGGGGGAGCAATGCTGACACCCCCCACCCCTGGTCTCACCACAGCAGACCACGTGTCCCACCTGGAGAACGTCTCAGAGGAGGAGATCAACCGGCTCCTGGGCATGGTGGTGGATGTGGAAAACCTCTTCATGTCAGTGCACAAGGAGGAGGACACGGACACCAAGCAGGTGTATTTCTACCTGTTCAAGGTGCGTCTGGGGCTGGGGACTGCTCATGGTGGGGCTTGGGCAGGGGTCTCTCAACGTTGCTGGGAGCTGGGGTCTGGCTGTGGGTGTCCCACAGGACCCTGTGCTGGGAACAACTGCTCCTCAGCCTGGAATTCCCCTGGGAGGGAGGTTTCTGGGGAAGAAATGGGCATCATCCGAGGTGGACCCATTCCTGGCGCTTCAGTAACCATGTTGTGTGGTGTCCGTGCAGCTCCTGCGGAAGTGCATCCTGCAGATGAGCCAGCCTGTGGTCGAGGGGTCCCTGGGGAGCCCCCCCTTTGAGAAACCAAACATTGAGCAGGTGAGGCTGCCGTCAGGCTCATGCCTTGCACTGGTGGCTGGTCCTGTGGTTTGCTGCTCTTGCACGGGCCGGTCCCTCTTCGGGTGGCAGCACGAAGGGTCGGGTGCAGCACCCGGTGCCCTTCCACTGCCCCGTCCTTTCCCAGGGAGTCCTGAACTTCGTCCAGTACAAGTTCAGCCACTTGCCGCCCAAGGAGCGTCAGACTATGTACGAGCTCTCCAAGATGTTCCTGCTCTGCCTCAACTACTGGAAGCTGGAGACTCCATCCCAGTTCCGGCAGCGCTCACAGAACGACGATGTGGCCACCTACAAGGTCAACTACACAAGGTGAAGGTGGGAGAGGGGCTGAGCCTCCTCCTCCTTCTTCCTCCCCTACACGGGGCTGAGCCCTGACTCCTGGGGTTGTTGCCTCTCCCCACTCTCCTGTTGGTCCATTTGAAAAGCAGGCATCCAGTGGGATCCTGCTTCCAGATCACATCAGCTGTGACCCCCCAGGCACCTGCTTTTCTCATCCCTGCTTCCAGCAGTGTTCTCCCAGGAGGGATGTGGGGCTCTGGGGCCGCTGGTCCCAGCCCTGTCCCTGGAGCACATTCCTGTCTCCTAGGTGGCTGTGCTACTGCCACGTGCCGCAGAGCTGCGACAGCCTTCCCCGCTACGAGACCACTCACGTCTTCGGGCGCAGCCTCCTGAAATCCATCTTCACGGTCACCCGTCGGCAGCTGCTGGAGAAGTTCCGGGTGGAGAAGGACAAGCTGGTGCCAGAGAAGCGGACGCTGATCCTCACCCACTTCCCCAAGTAGGTGCCTGATGCGGGGATGGCTGCGGTGCCGCAGGGGAGAGTCTCCTCCTCGCACACCAAGCACAGATGATGTGCTGCTCCCGGCCAGGTTCCTGTCCATGCTGGAGGAGGAGATCTATGGCGAGAACTCTCCCATCTGGGAGGCTGATTTCACCGTGCCGGCTGCGGAGGGGGCTCAGATGGTGTCTCGCCCAGGTATCGGGGAGCAGCCGTCCCAGCTGGGGGGCTGTAGGACACAGGGACAAGGTGTGGGTGAGCCTGTGACGGTGACTGGGGTGCTGCGGGGTGACGAGCTGCTTTCTGGCACTCACGGGCATCCTTGGTTCCCGCCAGCCGCGGTCAGCACCGTCGCCGTGCCCACTGCTCCGCTCTTCAGCAAGAAGCTCAGCAACAGCAGCTCTGCCGCGAGCATGGACGCCAGCACCCCGGAGCCCCTGCCAGGTATGACCAGCGCAAGCTGGGACCTCCTTTGGTCCCTCCTCGCGCTGGACATGCCGCTCTGCTCTGCTCCGCAGGGGAGAAGCGGAAGCTGCCCGAGAGCCTGACGCTGGAAGATGCCAAGCGGATCCGTGTCATGGGAGACATCCCCATGGAGCTGGTGAACGAGGTCATGCTGACCATCACGGACCCCGCTGCCATGCTGGGCCCTGAGGTATGGGCTGGGGGATGCTGAGGCAGCTCCCGGGTCTGTGGCGCTGCTCTCTGGGGTTAGGCTCTCCCCATGGAGAGTGTGGTGGAGCCAGTGAGCCCCGTGCCC